TCACACGTAAGTTTTTTTTTTTCAATTGTTTTAAGTATTTAAATCCTTATAATTTACAGTTTTGTAAATTACATTGAGAAGAGATTTTTATAAATCAACTTTCGTTTCTAGATAATTTACTGAATGACTTAAAATTTGTGTTTCAAAGTTAAATAATAAAATTTAATATATATTTCTCTTAATTTTTTCCGAAAATAAATTAGTTTCGCGAAATTTCTTATGAAAAAATGACGTATAATTGCATAATATTTATATAACTACGTCAAAGATTTCTTCATCCATAGGCATATGATATCTGCTATGCTGTTCTGTGCGTATTTTCTTACGTGGCGGCTGGTTCGGAGCAACGAAAGCAACAACAAGGTCAACAGCAGCAGTCGCAACAGCAGCATCCACAACGCCAACAGCAGCATCAGCAGCACACTTTACAACCGAACGAACAGCGTCAGCAGCACACTTTACAACCGAACGAACAGCGTCAGCAGCACCATCAAGCCCGGCATCCCCCTCAACAATACAGACAAGAGCAACCCCAATCGAGCAATGTAACCCAAATGCACAGAAATACACAGCTGGACCCTTATCCCCGTCAACACTGACGCAGGCAAAGACACTCGCTTCCCTATGTTAGCATTCACGGCAAAAATAGTTGCGCCCCTTACGCCTGTTTACCCTGGGTATAAGTGCGCTATCCTTCTCAGAAATTTATTTGGAGATTCGATTGAATGTGGGCAAAATAATTGTGTGACATTATTTTTTCGAAGAAATATTTCCTTCTATTTTTCTTCTTCAAAGGCGCCGTAACAACGCTTTTCCTTTCCGGAATTGAAATCACTTTGTGAAAAATTGTAATAACTTAGAACATGAAAAAATCATATCTATCTTTAGTTTAATTCGTTGATATCAGACTTACGGCGCGAATTTTTATTCGGAGTTAGTCTTGCGTAGTCAATGTGATAACTATAGTATTCTTGTATTCATCGCGTACACGTGGATACGCGTGTATGTGTCACCTAAAGCAATTAAATACAATAACTATTCGTAATTGGCGGTACAATTTTATATAAGACGCCGTATACAGAGATTGTAATTATAAACGTTCGTGATGGTAAAAAGAGTATTTATTAAAAGTATTTATTTTAGCTCGGGTCGAAGTAAAAATGGTAGATGTCGATTGACAAACGCCAAAAAAAAAAAAAAACGCATTGCAATTAACTTGCAAATTTTTTAATTACCACATACGAAATTACTCTTATCGTTTTCAGATATTTGAATTTTCCTGACTGAAATATAGATAACAGCTTTATCCGTTCGCTATCTCTCTTTTCTTTATGTCTGTAATCGAATTTAGCCGATGATTTATATGTTTCAATTAAATCTATTGTACTGAATGAAATATCGCAATGTTTATGAAAAACTGTTGTAAGATGTGTAGAAAAACATACTGTCGTTCTATATCTCGAATAACTTGCACGGTGGTCATTCTTTTGTACGGTTTCGAATACAGAAGAAAGAGAATTTCCCTCGGTAGTTCCTAGAGCTCGTTTAGGGTACATGTAATGTTCCTAAAGTTCTAGACATTATATGTAATATAATGTAACTCTGAAGATTTATATTCTGCATTTTCCTATGATTCAAATCGTTAGTTAGACATCGGAAACTGCAACGAAATCGCGATTGCAAATCGCGATCACGATAGTCTAAATCGGCATTAAGAGTGCGAAAATCTCACGGAAATTATTGTATCTTTTTCTTTGCCGCATTTTTCGATATTCGTTGTGTTAAGTATATGCGTAAAAAAAAAACAGATATAAGAAGAAACGAAAGACCAGCCTAGGAAAGAGAATATGTATACTAGTCGCGAACTCAGCGTGAAATAACCGTAGCGTACGTTACACACAGATATCAGAAGAAATGATATATTTTCTTGTAACGTATAAGAAGCGTATAGATATTTGTAAAAAGGTATAGGATATGTAAATAATAATTGGCGATATAGTGAGCGATACGACCAGCATCATTTTTTATTTCTCGTTTTTTAATACGATTATACATATTAGAGCTCGTTCACCAGCTAAGTTGGAGAGAAGTGCATTTCTAAGAATAAGAGAGAGCGAGGGAAAGA